GCCCGGATATCCGCTCATTCCGCTGTCTACGCTAAGACCCAAAATATAGGCTGTTGCCTCCAGAGGCTAATTCATCATCAGACAAAATCCAATGGGCTCTGAGATTGAGCCGCACCATGCTGCCACCAACATTCCCATCAATGCACAACCAATCCTGTGGACCCCCCTCACTGCAGGGGCAAAGAGTTCAGACCTGTACTGCTCTCTTGATGTAAACACCACACATGCACTTGTGATCACTACTGAACTCTAGGCTGTGTATTCATCTTGTAGAGAGTTCATGCATTGTAAACCTATGGTAAAATCTTCCTATGCACATTTTTAAAAAGATTGTTTACACAGTCTGATCACGTGCAGCATTGAAACTGTCAGTCACCTGAGGAGGAGAACCTACTAAGTAATGCACAAGCTCAAACGTGCAGACGTCACATCAGCCACTGTTCCTCTTGAAACACCAGCCAGTCCAGTTTTTGTGCCTGTTGCTGCATCTGTGCCGCAGCAAAGAACGCTCTTATAAAGCCACTTGGATTTTTTTCTTCCTGCCATCTTGATACAAAATCAGACTCAGCTGCTCGGTGCCACACAGCATGACTGGATGAGACCTGAATTGTGCCATACATCGTGCCTGAGTGCATTTGTCTTTTAATCTCGCACCCATTTGAATATGCACGCTACCATGTGTGCATGTATCTGTGGCTCTGGACGACCTGATTTATAGAGCACATACTCTACAACAGATGTACGGCCTCCAGCCCATACATTCCTCTGTGTGTGTGTGTGTGTGTGTGTGTGTGTGTGTGTGTGTGTGTGTGTTAATGTACATAAAACCCATATAAATGGTGAACTAGTTGAACTAGTGGCTGAACATACTCATTCCTCTTGACATAAAGTGCAGTACATGCACACTCACAGGCTTATTTAACTGGCAGAATGTCATAATGAGCTGCTGCATGTAAGAGTGACACAGATTTGACATCTGCTCCTGGACTTAGGCTTTATATGTCTCTATATATATTTTTATGTATATGTCAAACGTGATATAGGAGAAGGCTGCTGGTTCTAATCTCCTGCTGATCTCATGAGGTCTCACACACACACACACACACACACACAGAAACACACAAAAGGCTCCACAAAAGAGGAATGACCCACAGTGGAGCCATCGAAGTGATTCTATCTGCATTCAAGGCAATAAAACATAATAACTGTTAGTTTTCACGTCTCTGTGCATACTGTGTTCTGCTGGCCTTGCTGATAATCTGCAGAAAAAAATATTTTAGCTCCTTAATTCTACATTTTCACCCAACTTCTTGTCGGAAGAATTGTGAGGACTGAAAGGGGGCACACAGCACACAGGGCAAAAGCCAGAGCCACAGGCCCTCTGCAACATAGCAAACACACACTCACATACTGTACAATTCATGGATTCAATTAGCTTCCTCTTTAAGCTGCCAGCACAAGTGGTTAACACAACCTCTTGATGTCACCCCTGAATGGAGGGATAAAATACTGCCCTCCTCACAAGCACACGTCTCCTCCTCCTCGAGTCTTTCTGCGGCACTTTTATGATCTCACTGTGTAGTAAGAGACTTGTAAAAGACTGGACGCCCTTTCTTTCCCTCTGTCATGCATGTCTTTTTTTCTCTCTAATGGATTTGTGAATGGGCAATTACAGCACAAAACCAAGTCAGATTGATTTCAAGAAGTAAATCTCATGAGAGGTTAAACCGTAGCTGCTTTCTGACACGCACTGAACTCCGGAGATTCTCCGCACTTTCTCCAGGGGAGGTGCATGTGTGGAGGCAAATGTTCAAGTGAGGGCCTCTGGATTATCTGCGGACTTTCTCCACTTGCCCCCCTAGATTAAAGTCAGAAAGCAAGTCAGCACAATCAAACTGTGGATGAAGTCCGGACACAATTGTCTGGACTTTATCCGCAGGTCATGTTTCACCAGCTGGTTTCAAGGTTCCTGTTTCTGGAAGGTCTTTTCACCCCGTGATGTGTTTCGACTGAGATGACAATGAGCGGCGGTGCAAACATCTAGATAAAGGAAGAACACACTATGATCTGTGTCAAGGAGGTGATGAAAAACAACAAGAGGACGACCTTGCATAGGCAGCAGTTTGCAAGAACTAGGAAGAAAAAGAGCAACTCCAGATCAAGATGAATTAAAGTGTCATTAGATTTCAAAGTTAACAGGAAACACCCAGTAAACAGAAGGATCAGATGTCAGATCTCCCGTCTCCTGGCTGTGGATCAGGCCTCTTCAGAGCAGAAGCTTCTCACATGCTGCGGCATAAGGGCCCCCTGCAAATACACTCCCCAAGAATATTTATGCTACATGTTACTGTTGAACCAGATGCTCACTTTCCGTTTTTCCTAGAAGTAGCCCTCTCAATGAGTTTACGGAATAAACATTTGTGTTGAGGATTTCATCATTTTAGGAGGCTTGCGAGCGTATGTTTGCACGGCTGTTCAAACACACATGTTCGTAAAAGTCTACGTCTCACTTTCTTAGATTTGTATTTGCACCGCTGACTGTAATGTTGTCATGAGTGCGGCTTGAGTTACAGTGGTTTGCTCTTTTAAATCCTGTAAACACGTATAAATCCCTGGAGGAAAGTGAGGCAGATACCAGAGTGTATTTATCACTAATTCAAATATTTGCAATTAGTTCCAAAAACCCCTGAGCTCAAACACCCAGTGGGTCGGGGAAGTGCAGCCTGGGTGAGTTAAGACAGGTTACAGCCCGATGTAATCTGTCAGAGGTGCAAACCGAGGAATGTGATTATTCTTGGTTTGCAGAGCTCCAGAGGAAAAAAGCAGCGACAGGAAAGTGAAGGAATTCCTCCACTGCAGGAGATCTCACTTCTCTCTGCAGTGATCTTTTGATTTCCTCAGGAGGGATCGTGGTCAGAGCCAAACAAATTGGTTCAGACAAAAACACCAGTGGCTGCTTTTCTTCTGTCCATCTTCAAACTCCTCTCGTTCTTTCTCTCTCTCTTATTTTAACAGCTCATCTTCCATGAAGCCAAACATCATTCTGGAGCCTGGGTGTGTCACATACACAAGACGTAAAAATAAAGCTCAAACATTTTTGCTTTGTCGCTTATCACCGTGCGTCTCCCTTGGGGGTCAAGCGCAGTAACTGCAGAGATCGAGACTCAGATCACAGGGAGAGAGATAGGGCGTTGGCCTTCTATCTAATGGCTGGGTTGGGCCTTCTGCTGTGACCATAAGCATCACCTTCCCAACAATCCCTGGCACACACACCTAAACACATACACACAGATATATGAGATGAAAAGAAACACAAGTCTGTATTTAGAAAAACAAATATAGCTCAATCATTCAGAAAACGTGAGTCTTTAATGAAGCAGTTACTTCTAATTTCTTTTTTATTTATCCAATCTTTTTTAAAATGAATGTTTGGTCTGAGGCTGTGGAGACGATGGGCCCTTTTTAATAATAAAAATCAAAAAAACATGATTAACATGGTAATGACACTTTGACACGTCATGACTTATTTTTAATTTAAAGGAATTGCTAATCATTTTAAGTCTTTAGTGTTTCAGAGGAGTTTAAATTAAATCCATTTCTATATCTGTAAGTGGTGTTAGTGGTACTTTCTGCACACTAACCCAATATCCCCAAATCCAAATAAGTTTATTTTGATTTCTTTTGTTGAAGTTTATAACAGTTTAAATTCACAAAGGAGTAAGATCTCTGTGGGGATGCTTGATTTTGTAAAAAGATAAGATGAGATAACATTATTCTTTATTAGTCCCACTATGGGGAAATATCCATTATTATTGTGTTATATATTTTTTTCCTCTACACATCGAGAAAGTAAAACTAATGTCAACAGAAAACACATATTAGATGACAGTTTTTTCTAATGCTGGATGTATATCACATTTTAAAAACATGGAAACCTGATCCTTTAAAATCAAACTCCAAGCTGTGAGTGGGTGTTGAAATGGTGACAATAATATTATGGTGTCTGTTGAAATACTCAGATTAATCTGTAGCCTAACAACACAGTGACAAGAGCTTTAACCTCTTTCTTGATTTCTGTGACAGGGTCATTTTTACAGATGGCGGTCGTCAGCCTCAAACTCAACCCATGTCCTTTTGTAACTGGTCCTGAGTCCATCCCTGACCAGATAATAGAGACGTCCACATGTCTTTGATTTCTCTGGAGTTTCTGAGCTTCCTGACTGACCCCAAATTCCACAACAGGGTGCCACCATGAAGTATGCTCTGTCTGTTTACACATCTTGTTTTTATTGTGAATGACACATTACATTGATGCCAGGAATGTGTTTTTTAATAGATTTTTTTATGATTTGAGCCGCGGGACAAGACATTGATCCTGTTGTTGTGAAAGTCACACATTTAAATGAACATCAACTCCTTTCAGAACACATCATCAATAAAATCAACTCAGACCGTTTATTATACACATTTAACAGGATCGGCACTTTTCTTATTTATTCTTTGTAACTGTGTTAAGCAAAGTGCTAGACATACAGCCTTTATTGTTAATTTTATATTAAGAATTCGAAAAAAAAGTTAAATCCATCATGCATGTGAACATAAAAAACTCTCACATTAAACCGTTTGTTATATAAAACGGATTATTCAAATATTTCTCCCATTAAGTCCAACTTCTTTGTTCTTTGTACTTTAAGTCATGGAAAAACAAATCAGATTAACTTTTCCTGACAAAAGGCCTTGAGGTTCAAAGTGTTAGAGCAACTCTCCTGTATAGTTCATTTTAAAACATGAATATACAGCAGTTTAAAATGATATGAGCACAGTTTAAGTGCAGAGAGCTGAGGTGTTCTCCCCTGTGAAGAAGCTTGTCAATGATTTTTCCTCACTGATTCAGAGCTGGGACAAAGTTTAAACCCCGCCCCACCTCTCAGACCCAGCCAATGACGGTTGAGTATTCAAATGAGCCGAACATAAAGATGACTTGGAGCTGCATCTGTGACAGAACATAAGAAACTTCTCCAGCACTAAGAGGTGACCTGTCTCTTCACACAGTGGATTTACAAGCAGCCTCCAGAGCACTTAGTTTAAAAAAAACCCAGGACACTTCATTTTATAGGAAAAATAAAGTCTCAATAATATGGGAGAAGAAAATATCTTATTTTTGACTGTTTGGATAATTTTGGGAAACATCATTGCAGCTTTTTCTGCCACCCCTGAAGCCACAACTGTGTTTGGTAAGATCCCTTTTCTTCTTTTCTTGAGATACCAGGATTTTATTTTCATGATCCACAACAATGAAATCAACGTATGCGGGTTAATTAACGCGCGCCGAGCCGTGCTGACCGCCAATAACCCCGTGAACAGCCCCAGGTCTGCAGGTCTGCATCCTATTTCTCACCATGTGTGCATGAGGGTAAAGCCATGTTCCAGGCCTTTTGTCTGAGGAAACACAGGAGGGGGGAAAAAACCTAAAGATTTGCAATGAAAAAAGTGAATATACAAAATACTGATAGTAATGAGTAAAGTAAATTAAAATTGTTATCAGTGCTGCAGTATAA